GGGGGGGGGGGGGGGGGGGGGGGGGGGGGCGGGGGCACTTATCCCGTTTCCTCCCCGCTGTGGCATCGTGGATGGGGCCCTTCCCGGCCACGTCCTACCAGGGGGCCTCCTCTTCTCCACAGCCCCAGGAAGGCCCCTCTCCCCGCTTGTCCTTCAGGCTGGGGATGGGCAATGTCTACTCCCCTGGTGCCCCACTATCCCACCTTGGCTCTGCCCGCACTTCAGTAACAAGCCCCTTGATTTCAAGCATCCAGGTGAATTCTGCTTCCTGCTGGGAGCTTCTCCCCGCGCAGGGGACACGAGGGGACGCGCAGGGGTGGAGCCGAGGTCAGGGTCAAGGCCGTGGACTTACCTCCTGCTCCGAGAGGCCATCGATGATCTCGGACACCTCGTGCTCACTGCGGGCGGCTGACATGGAGAGCCCGCTGCCCCGCTGGCCCACCCTGCTGGAGACCGAAGGGACACGCTCAGGATCGACCCCTCGACAGCCAGGGACACACGGCCGGCACAGCGGCACAGACCCGAGCCCACAGGTTCCCCAGAGGTGGCGTGTGGGCAGTGAGGAGCGGCCAGGCCTCACACCCAGAGAGACAGCCCCGAGCCCAGGGGTCCAGGGGAGGGCATGGAGCCCCCAGACTCACCCAGAAATGCCAGAACCCTTTTTCTCTCCTAAGATGCCCACCAAAAGGCCAGCCACACAGATCCACAGACAAAGCCCAGCTCTGCCTCTTCGGACCTGTCCCTCAATGTCTCCCCCTGTACCACGGGGATAAGGTGGCACGGGGATAAGGTGGCACGTGGCTCCCAGGACTGGAGGAGGCATTCGGTGAGATACGCACCGTGAGTGTCCAGTAAAGAGTGAAATCCAGCATCCCTGCTCATGGCCCACCACCTTATCTGTGACAACAGATGTCACAGCCGCATGTCACCGAGCACCTACTCTGCGCTGGGCACTCCTACGCAGGACCCCACCCCATCCTCACGGCCGCCACGTGAGACCAGCAACCTTCTCCTTTGATCCACACCAGGGATCTCAAACTCAGCTGCCTTCAGGGGCTGCATAAATGAACGAAGCTGGGAGGCACCAGCCTGTGGCACTCGGGAAGAAGAACTCACTCCACCAAAATGGATTTAAGCTTCTTTCAATTAAGTATTAAGGCCGGGCAGGCACCAAGTGACACATCCAAGGGCTTGATGCAGCCCCCCGGGCTGCCAGTTTAACACGCTGCTGTGCCTTCTGTTTCCCACCGGCCAGGGCGCCTCTGTGGACAGTGCCTCTAGCTGACCCAGGCCCTGGGAGGCAGGAAAGGAGGGAGGGAGGGAGGGAGGGAGAGAGAGGGAAAAGAGAAAAAGGGAGGGAGGAAGATAGAAAACCTTGAACAACTTACAATTTCTACAGTTCCTATTGTTTAAGGGCATAGAGCTAAAAGCTCAAGAAGCATCCAAGCCTGTGGCAAGCATCCAAGGAGGGAGGGGAGGGGAGGGGGAGGGAGGGGGGCCCAGCCCCCGCTGCTCACCTCTGCATGCGCTCCTGCAGCTCCCGCTGCTTGCGGATCTCGGGGAACTGCTTCTCGTAGTACTCGCGCACCTTGCTCTCCTTGGCCCGCCGCCGGGGGTTGTTCTCAATGCGCTCCACCTTTTTCTCCCAGGCCTCCATGAGCTGGTCATAGCGCTGGCAGAACTTCTGCTCCTGGGGGTGCGGGGGAGCCCTGCGGCAGCCGCTCCTCCCGCATCCAACACCCAGCCCCTC